GCTGGACACCAAGACTACTCTCTCCGCCCTCCACGCCCATGGTTTCCTGGTCAACCAAAAAAAGAGCCAACTGGTCCCTTCTACCCGAATTGCCCACTTGGGGGCTATCATTGACACGGTGCAGGAAAAAGTGTTCCTTTCCCCGGAAAGGCTCCAGAGTATTCGAAATTCAATTCAGGTTATTCGCCGATCAAGGAGGGCTTCTCTGTTAGATTTATCTAAATTACTGGGAAAAATGGTTTCATGCATCTCTATTATTCCTTGGGCCCGTCTTCATACCAGGTCCCTGCAGTGGCTCCTGCTTCCATTTCAAAGGTCCGGCAGAAGCAACTCAAAATCCTCCATCAAGGTACCTCCAAAGGTCCTCTCGTCTCTCCTCTGGTGGACCAACCCTGCCATCAACAGGGGTCATCTCTTCAAAGATCCCCAGCGTCTCGTCATCACCACAGACGCCAGCCTGAGCGGCTGGGGCGCTCACTTCCAGTCCCTTACAACACAGGGCAAATGGTCCCATGCAGAGCGGGCCTGCAGCATAAACTGGCTGGAGCTCCACGCCATCCACCTGGCCATCCGCCACTTCCTGCCTCAGGTACGCGGGCGGCACGTCCTTATTCTCACAGACAATGTTACCGCCAAGGCCCATGTCAACAGGCAAGGCGGGACCCAGTCTATTCGGTTGATGAGAGAGGCCGAGAGACTCTGCCGTTGGGCAGAGCGTCACCTCCTCTCGATCAAAGCAGAACACATTTCGGGGGCCTCAAACACCCGAGCGGACTGGTTAAGCAGGGCCACCGTGGACCAGTCCGAGTGGCGCATTCATCCATCCCTTTTCAGGGAGGCGACCATGATCTTCGGTCTCCCGTTAGTGGACCTCTTTGCATCCCCCTGCAACACCCAGCTCCCTCGGTTCTTCTCCAGATTCCCTTCCCCCGGGGCCGAGAATCACGACTCACTTCGCTGTCCGTGGCCCCCTGGACTCCTGTATGCCTTCCCCCCATTAGCTTTGCTTCCCAGGGTCATTCAGAAACTGATCCAGGAGAAGGCAGATCTGATTTTGGTGGCCCCCTACTGGCCCAGGCGACCATGGTTTGCAGACCTCCGCAACCTCTCGGTGTCTCCCCCGTGGAGAATCCCTCCGGACAGGATCTCCCTATCTCAGGGGCCCATTCAACATCCGGAGCCCCAATGGCTCCAACTAACCGTGTGGAGGTTGAGCGGGAGAAGTTGAGGAAGGAGAATTTATCTGACCAGGTCATTAACACGATCCTGGCCGCCAGACGGCCTTCAACCAATCGAATATACGATGCCACCTGGGTCAGCTTCTGCAGGTGGTGCCATTCATCCATGGTCAACCCGCTCTTGCCTTCGGTGGCCGAGATTCTGAATTTTCTCCAGGATGGGCTCAAAAAAGGTCTCTCACCTAATACCCTGAGACGCCAGGTAGCAGCCCTCTCAACTGTTGTCTCCGGCGACAATCTGGGTCCCCTCTCTCACCATCCCCGTATCAGGGCCTTCCTAAGGGGGGCTACTAACCTCCATCCCCCTGTTGTGCACCGGTACCCCACTTGGGACCTTAACAAGGTCCTGGTGGCCCTCACCAGACCTCCTTTCGAACCCATTAGAGAATCCTCTCTCCAAATTTTGACCTTTAAGGTAGTATTCCTGGTGGCAATTACCTCGGCTCGCCGAATTTCGGAGATCGCTGCCCTTTCGGTGAGAAAGGACCTCTGTATCTTCCATTCCGATCGGGTGGTTCTACGCCCCGACCCGACCTTCTTGCCCAAGGTCAGTTCAGCCTTCCACAGGGCTCAGGAGCTTACACTCCCGAACTTTTGTCCCAATCCTTCGCGGGAAAGGGAGAAACAATGGCACACCCTAGATGTCAGGCGGGCCCTACGCATATACATTAACCGCACACAACCCTTTAGAAGGTCAGAGTCTTTATTTCTCTCCTTCCAGCCCAAGTCCTTAGGCCACAAGGTGTCCCCTTCCACCATCGGGCGATGGATCAGAGCCACCATCGCCAAGGCTTATTCATCTCAGGCCTTGCCAGTTCCCAGTGGGGTTACGGCGCATTCCACCAGGAGTGCGGCCACCTCTGAGGCCTGGGCCACCCAGGCTCCAATCTCAGACATCTGTCGGGCCGCCACTTGGGCTTCCCCCTCCCCTTTCATTAGGCACTATAAGATTGACATCTTTGCGTCAGCTGAGGCCTCGTTTGGTAGACGAGTCCTCCAGCGGGTCATCGAGGACCCAGGGGAGCTTCCACCCCAGACGGATTCCCTCCCGTAGGACAGCCAAGCTTTGGTATGTCCCACTCTCTGGATGATCCGAGCAGCTCGAGGGAGAATGGGCGTTGGTCTTACCTGACACGCCATTTCTAGTCGAGCTGCGAGGATCATCCAGCCCCACCCCTTTTTAATTTTTTCCGTCTGGGGGAACCTTGTTTCAGCCAATGATACTTTAGGTCTAGTTAGATGAGAGTTAGACGACTTTCCTCCTCTCTCGACTTCGCATAAACTGGGAGGCTACAAGGGACCATGTGACAGAGGGCGGAGCGTTGATGATTAAGCCCAGCCTACACAGACGCAGACTGGAGCACCTCCCACTCTCTGGATGATCCTCGCAGCTCGACTAGAAATGGCGTGTCAGGTAAGACCAACGCCCATTTTATTATGGATATACAGGAGTGGGATTCAATTTCTTAACAACTGGTTCTGTGGCTGTGACCTAATTTGTAGGTGTGGCTTGGTCATGTGACTGGGTGGACATGGCATGTATGTAAATATTATAAATATTTATGTAAATGCTGATTTTTTTATTTAAAAAGAGCAACTTTTACCCAAAAGCAGGCAAAGCAGGCAGGCAGATTGAGTTGCTCACAGAATTACAGATTCACTTAGAGATCTATCTTTCTGCAGTCAGTTACTTGAGTCTGTCACATAAAATTTGCTTGCAAGCAAACTCACAAATTAACTCACAATACACCATGTATGTAAATATTGATTTTTTTATTAAAAAAGAGCAACTTTTACCCCAAAGCAGACAAAGCAGGCAGGCAGATTGAGTTTCTCACAGAATCACAGATTCACTGAGAGATCTATCTATCTGCAATCGGCTACCCGAGTCTGCACTGAAAAGTAGACGCTTCAGTCCGAAGGAAGGTTCAGCTCTGCTTTTTAGCTATTCTAAATCTCCCAGCAGAGCAGAACAGCTAATGATCCGGTGGGGGGGGGGGGAATAGCAACTTACCAAACCAAGCAAGTTGGATGGCTGGCATGCCAGGTAAGGAGTGGGTGGGTGGCGCGGGGCCAGCCAGTGGAGTGATTTACTGGTTCTCTGAACTGCGGACAATCATTAATGTGTGTGTGCAGTGTTTTCAAGAAATCATCAACTGTGCCGCCTGGACAGCTGACAAGCGCTGCACGTGGGTGTGCAGTGTTTGAAAATCCTCTTGTTTCCTGCTTTTTCAACCTCAGCTGTGCCACGCAAACAGCTGAGGAGGGAAAAACAGGGAATAAAGGACAGCCTAGAGCCTGGGCAGGCGGGTGGGCCAAACACTGAACCGGTTTGGTGTCAGCTGCTCTTCTCAGCTACCAGTTCTATAGAACCGGGCTGTACCGGTAGCATCCCACCCAAGGGTGGGATTCATATTTTTTAACAGCCGGTTCTGTGGGCGTGGCTTGGTGGGCGTGGCTTGGTGGTCATGTTATTGGCTGGGCGTGGCCAACTCAATATCACTCATCAAGGCATGCATCTCCTCACCTGGCCTCTCATGACTGTGGGGATACTGCAACAGTCGTAAGTGTGAAAAATGGTCATAAGTCATTTTTTTCAGTGCCATTGTAACTTTGAATGGTCGCTCCACACAAACAAAGCATCAGCAAAGGAGGGGGAAAAAAACTCCAGAGAAATTCCAGAGACAGGAAGTCTAGTCCTCCCAAGAATGTAATAAGGGTTAATGGAGAGGCAGTTTCTGTAAGCAACACCAGAATGTTTCCTTCCTGCCTTCCTTACAGGATTAGGCCAGTAATTTCTTCTAACAACCAGTTCTCCAAACTCCTTAGAATGTTAACAACTGGTTCTAGCGAATAGGTACAAACTGGTAGAATCCCACCCCTGATCCCACCCCGTGTATGTCTTTTTCACTTATTAAATCATAATTTAGTTTTACTTGTAAATCCTCTATTTCCATCTCTTTCTTATAAGTTGTCATCCATCTTCAAATCAATTTCAGTTTTATTCAGTGGGCTTGTTCCTCTTCAGTACCATCTTCTAATTCTTCAGTAATAGTAAATAACTTCCTGAAATCCATTCATTGTAGCTCTCTCTTAAAGTGTCCAGTAGTGTCCAACCTTCAAAGTTATCAGTTTAAATCCAAATATATAGACATTTTCCCAAGGGAAACATCCTTTCAATAACTTCAAAGTCTTAAATAAGTCCATTTGTATTTTGTTTGTATGTTTGTTAAAAACTTTCTAAAGTCAACACTAAACATCCTTTTGCTATAGTTACCATTTTTTTTACAAATCTTTTTTAAAACCTTTCGTAGCAATTATTAAGCAGATCACCATGGTCATTAAGTGAATTTTTGGGCATTAAGCAAATGTATTATTCATTATGAGGCATTTTGCCAAAACTGAAAGTAACACTGGTTTTCATCCAAACCATCATAAATTGTTGTCACATAATGGCTATAAATATAGGCCAGTTACTGAGTGCCCAGAATGCAGCCATGTGACCATGGGTGGGGACTTGGCCATTGGAATTTGGTAACAGGGTAATATGTATCTTTGGCGGGGGTTGTAAGACAAGAACTACCTGTATTGCCTATGGCTAAAAATAATGATTGAAAATATTTCCATGATGTGTTTATTTTTCTTTTTTGTAACAAATCATACATCAGACATTTTCTAGGCAAGTATATGCTTGATTTAAATACAAAGGTTAACATAATTAGTGTTATTACTAATAATTTTTTCTTTTTTTCTTTTGTACAGCCATCAGTTGAATCAGCAAGCCCAGGTAATGTTTTATTTTAATATTTACTAAACTGGAGAAGATGTAAGTTCTTTATTCAAGTTCATTTGATTATATATATTATAGAATGCACAGTTGTTGCTATAATTAACGACACTGAACTTTATTTAAAAGAGTTTGTGTTCCATACTAAAAGGCAGTTTGATCTCAAGGGGCCACTTCTAATGATCGTTACATACACGGCAAATACTAGGGCTTTATAAAGCTTTTGAATGAAGTGCTTCACAATGTGCTTTCTCCTCAGCAGAGCAGCTAGCTGTGGATGCAGGCTATGAACAACTATATTACACTTGGAGAAGATAATTGCTTTAATAATTTTAGGAGAGATGTTTCATTTGAATGTTTCACATAGCTCTAACAGATGTGCCTGTGTCACGTTGCTCTTATATATTTCTAAAAATGTGTCTTTCAACTATCACTAGAATTTGGAAAATATGATGCATGTAATTATAGCATTATCTAACAAAGTTCAGATTAATGCAAGAATGCATTTTTTTAAAAAATGAAGGTTTATTATGCCATAACTAAGGCCAAGTGCCAGCATGAATATTGTTATCCACTTATAATAGAATTGTATTGCAGATTTATTGATTCTTTTTGGGTAATACACATATTTTTGGTAGGTTAACCCTTTCAAGATCTGCTTAATTAGCAAAAGAGATCTCAGTTGTATTTTGTATTTTTATATATAATTTAGGAGTCTTAAACAAAGGCAGCAATTAGCCTACTACTGATATCAAAAAGCTAAACCAGTTCATATCTGGTTAATATTTGGATGGGAGACTACTAGAAAATCTCATAACTTTTTGTATTCAATAAACATAAACCATAAGATTCTGTGTTATAATCAGAAATGTAACATTTATAAATAAGAATCCAATAGAATAGAATACTGTATATAGCTCAGGGTTGAACTCTGCGGTCCTTCATGATGTCTACAATGAGATGAAATGTTTTTAAGCAAACAACTGAACTTAGAGAGCACCAAGGACTCTATAAGCCGCCTTGAGTTGCTATGGCGAATAGGCAGCAATATAAATCTAATAAATAATAATAAATAAAATAATAATAAAGAATATATTTAAATTCTGTCCACAGCACTAATGTATTTAAAATATTACATGTTAAGGAATCATAAAGAAATTGACAATTTGGTAAAATCATAATACAATATTTTGTTGTAATGTAACTTTATTATAACACCTTCATTAGGTTTTTTTTTCCTTCTTATATTTGGGAATAGCTGACTTGATACTGAAAGCAAAGCTGCTAACTTGAAATGATACTATAACGAATTATTTTAAGACACTTGGATTGTTTAGCCTTAATAAAACTGCGGGATGATAGGAATGAATGGAGTAACATTCTTCAAATATGTAAAAAGAAGTGACACAGACAACCAAAATACATTCTGTATTATTCCCAGATTCAGAACAAAAAATAATGGATTCAAAATAAAATAAGACAAATTCTAATTCACCGTTAGAAAAATTCTAATTATCCAAAGAATGTTGGGATCACCTTTGCTGATTTTGTTTAAAGAGGATTTAACAATCATTACTGGGCCACTATAATTTGACATTTAGTACAGAATCTAAATGCTCCTTTCAACTCATATTCAATACCTCTCACATTTTTTCTACATAATCTGAGAAACCTGGAAATAAAGCTGTTACATAAAGTCAGTTCTTACATTAATATCATAGACTATGATATGGAATATGAGGTTAATTAGAATAAGTAGTTGTGGCAAATTTTTCATGTAATTGTCATTATTGTCTACTTTATGTAATGTAACATAAGAGCTTAGGAAGCTGCTATGCTAGCCAAAATAAATACTACATTTACTCTCCATAAATGTACTGGAGATTTTTGACTTTCTACTGAGCTTTTTTAGTTAATCAAAATGAGAATATTAAGACATACTGTAGTTTTAATAAAAGAAAAGAGAGCATAATACAATATAGTTGCAGAAATATTAAAAAAGATATGGTGTTTTTATGGTTATTGGGTACAAAGAATTTTATTCTTAATAATTGAAATATTTTTACTCTTCCCCTATTCAACACAAACATTAGTTTGTTATATGTGTCTGGAAAGGGGCTTGCAGAACTCTGGGTAAAAGGGTATGAGAGGTGACAGCAACATTTTGGAAATGCAATTTCAGTTTTATGCCTGGTACGAGTTTTACAGTCCAGATTTTTGTACTTCAGATAATACAGAAATATGTAAATGAGCAGGTTTTTATATAACTTGATGCAGAGAAAAGTTAGATTTTAAATTTCAAAATGTTTTGAGGAAATGAAGAATTAAAGATAGTTTTCTGAATATGTATTGTAGAATGGAAGCAAAACAGGCACGAGAATAAAGAGAATGCTTCAGGAATAGTTCAGCATTGAGCAGAGGGTAACAAAGTAGCAGTGTTGGAAGGAAACTTGTAGGTCTTCTAATCCAGCGGCCCACTGGTGGTTCCATGAGAAAATTTTGGTGGGCCGCAGAGAAATCTCACTCCCAGAGCACCCCCCCCCAAAGCAATTAATCCAGGCTGAGCAGAAACACAAGGCTGCGCCGCCCACATGGCCCGTGGGAACTCTCCCCGCCCACTCACTCCTTACCCAGCAAACTTGCCTGCTAAACTGCTATTTTTCCTTTTTCTGACCATCAGCTGTTCTGCTGTGTTAGGAGATTTAGATTAGCTAAGAAGCAGGAAATAATTTGATTTCTTATTTTCTGCTAGTTTCTAGATCTTTGAACCTCCCTTAGGACTGAAGGTTCTATTATTCAGTGCAGACTCACGGCAAGCAAATTTAAGAGACTGAGCTAGCCCATGGCAGATAGATAGATCACTGAATGATTCTGTGAGCAACTCAATCTGCCTGCCTGCTTTGCCTGATTTTGGGTAAAAGTTGCTCTTTTTTAATAAACAATTCAATATTTATGTAAATATGTATATTTACATACAAGCCTAGCCAGTCACATGACCACCAAGCCACACCTACAAATTAGGCCATGCTCACAGAATCGGTTAGTGGTCCCTGGGATTTAAAATTATGAGTTTGGTGGTCCCTGAGGTCCAAAAGGTTGGCAACCCCTGTTCTAATCCAACCCCCTGCTCCAGCAGGAGACACTATACAATTTAAGACGGGAGGCGTTGTCCATTCTCTTTTTAAAAGCCTACAGTGATTGAGCACTTACAGTTCCACTGGATAATTATTTTCACAGATAAAGTTAGAATTTAAATGTAACATTAGAATTTTAAGGTAAGATTAGAATGTGTGAAATCCTATTGGTTATTTAATGTATTGGTGGAGATATCAAATTCTGTACCTGTCAACAGTGGTATCCCCCAAGGCAGTGTTCTAGGACCAACTCTTTTCATACTCTACATAAATGACCTCTATGATCATATCAAGAGCAACTGCGTTCTTTGCTGATGATGTAAAACTATTCAACACCACAGATAATACTGCTCTTCAAAAAGACCTCGACTATAGTCAAACAAATGGCAACTTCAAATCTCAACAAATAAATGCTCTGTTCTACAGATTGGCAAAAAAAAATCAGAAAATAAAATACAGGCTGAGTAGTCAAGACCTTGTTGATGATCCAAACTCTGTCAAGGATCTTGGAGTACTCATCTCTAATGATCTAAGTGCTAGAGCTCACTGTAACTACATAGCCAAAAAGGCATTAAGAGTTTTAACCTAATCTTACGTAGCTTTTTCTCTGGTAATATTACACTACTAACTAGAGCATAACAAAACATTTGCTAGACCAGTACTCGAATACAGCTCATCAGTCTGGAACCCACATTACGTATCTGATATTAACACAGTTGAGAAAGTCTGCAAATATTTCACAAGAAGAGTTCTCCATTCCTGTACTTGTTGCAGAATACCTTATGCCATCAGACTCAAAATTCTAGACCTAGAAAACCTAGAACTACGCCGCCTTCGGTCCTGTCTAAGTATAATATATAAAATCATACATTGCAATGACCTACCTGTCAATGAATACTTCAGCTTCAACCATTACAACACAAGAGCAAACAACAGATACAAACTCAAGGTTAATCGCACCAAACTTGATTGCAGGAAATACAACTTCAGCAACAGAGTGGTGAATGTCTGGAATACTCTACCTGACTCTGTGGTTTTTTTCCCCAAACCCCCAAAACTTTAACCTTAGACTGTTTACTATTGACCTCACCCCTTTCCTAAGAGGTCTGTGGGAGGCGTGCATAAGCGCACCAACATGCCTACCATCCCTGTCCTATTATTTTTTTTTTATTATTTTTCTTATATGTATCCATGTATTTATAACTGTGTTTTTACTTATACCTATTATCTTGTAAGCAATTGACAAAAATAAATTAAATAAATATAAGAAACACTTAGGATTATAGAGGTGTTTTGGCTGCAGCGGTAAATGTTAAGTGCTTCTTGTATATGGATGATGCCATGTTTTTGGCTGGGAATAGGAATGACTTAGTGAATGTTAAATAGACTGTTTAATGCAGATTTGAAAATTGTATGAGACCAAAATAATGGTGTCTAAAGAGTAAAATGGCATGCATGCTTGAAAATTATAAATAAATGACAAAAATTAGAGCAAATACAGTTTGTGAACTATTCAGAACTCTTTGTAATCCTGCAGTACTGGAGTACAGTGTGCTCAGAGCATCATCTAAATTCTGTTAATATACTCTGGTTAAACAAACAAAGCATAAAACAGTACATTGTGTCATGTCTTTATCAAACACATTGAGTCAATAATCACTTCCTTTTAAAAAAACAAACTATGTGACTCCCTGGGTCTGCAACCATACATTTTTAAGTTTAAACCTAGGAAAATCAGATGTCAGATGTTTCAAGTCTTGAAAGGTTAGTTATGTGTGAGTTTGAGGGGAATTTTCATGTGAAAAAAGCATATTGGTTACCACCACTGAAGTTTACTTAACGTGTAACAGATTTGCAGAAATGAATTACACCTTGATCAAAAAAGCTCTCTGTGGCCTCAAGAAAGATAATGCCAATAATGCAAGGAGGGATCACTACTGGAACAATGTTCTGTGTATAGCTATAACAAAATAAAGAACTTTGAATAATTGCTCTATTAGTGAGAAAAGAAATGTTTCATTTCAACAGAAGAACTGAGTCATGATTTTGAAACATGGCACATACGTCAGAATTGGTTTGCAGTCTTACAAACTCATACAGTTGCAATTACTGAAAGAACATGGAATGCTGAGTTGTTGTAGAAAATTCTACTGCAGATTGTCAGGATATATCCATCCATGAACTGAAGCTTAAACAAATATGGGTCATATAGCACAACAATAACTCTAAACACACAAGTAAAGCTACAACAAAATGGCTGAAGCAGAAGAAAGTTTGCAATTTGGAATTGCTAATTCAAAACTCTGATCTTAACAATTGAAATGTTGCAATATGTCATGAAATAAGCAGCTCATGCAAGACAACTCACAAATATCACAGTTAAAGCAGGAATGGTCTATAACTCGGGTTGCCAACGTTTTGGACCTCAGGGACCACCAAGCTCATAATTTTAAATCCCAGGGACCACTAACTGGTTCTGTGGGCATGGCCTAATATGTGGGCGTGGTTTGGTGGTCATGTGACTGGCTGGGCATGGCTTGGATGTAAATATTATACATATTTACATAAATATTGAATTGTTTATTAAAAAAGAGCAACTTTTACCCAAAATCAGGCAAAGCAGGCAGGTAGATTGAGTTGCTCACAGAATCATTCATTTATCTATCTATCTGCTGTGGGCTAGCTCAGTCTCTTAAATTTGCTTGCCGTGAGTCTGCACTGAATAATAGAACCTTCAGTCCTAAGGGAGGTTCGAAGATCTAGAAGCTAGCAGAAAATAAGAAATCAAATTATTTCCTGCTTCCTAGCTAATCTAAATCTCCCAACACAGCAGAACAGCTGATGGTCAGAAAAAGGAAAAATAGCAGTTTAGCAGGCAAGTTTGCAGGGTAAGAAGTAAGTGGGCAGGGAGGGTTCCTGCAGGCCATGTGGGCGGCACAGCCTTGTGTTTCTGCACAGCCTGGATTAATTGCTTTGGGGGGGCGTGCTCTGGGGGTGAGATTTCTCTGCGGCCCACCAAAATTTTCTCACGGCCCACCAGTTGGTGACTGCTGGTCTATAATAATTTAAGCTGATAAAACAGGAAGAATCAACATGCAGGAAATGTTTAGTTGATGTCATTGCTAATGAGGTACTACCAGCTATTACATTTAAAAACCAAAAAAGAGTGTATGTTCTAAAGAGAAATCAGTTCTATTTCTACCCAAAGTTACTAAATGATAAAATTCACATACTTTTTCCAATAAAGACCATGAAGATTGGTGTACTGTATTCAGCAAAAACATGACACAGTACTTTATTTTGGGACATTGTTCTATCAAAATCATTTTATTATTAGGACTTAGATGAAGTTCTGATCACAATTTAGGTCACAGAATTACAGGATTATAAATAACTTTAGAGAACTCACAATATTTTACTCACTATTGTAGTTGAATTTATATAAATAGAATGCTTACTTACAATAGGAAAATAGGTTGAGAAATGTTAGTATGTGCAAATGCTGATGAAAACAAAATGTAGTACAGTGTTAAGAGGAATGAGTAGTGAAAGAAGAAACAACCGCTTGTCTAGAAGAACATATTTTTGCCCACTTGACAATATGGAAATTAGAACTGGGGGAAAAACTAAAAGCAAGTTACTACAGTAAAAATGGTTATTTAAACATTATGCAGAATAAACAAGAAGGGATAGGGTCGGGAATGAAATGATGTGGAGATGACTAATCAGTAGAACAGTAATATTTTAAGTTGATTTAATCATATATACAGAGTGAATGCATAGTGAAGTATGTTCTACTTTGTCAATTATTTAAGACCACACTTGGAATGTTGCATCTAGTTTTGGTCAATTACAAAAAAATTAATTAGGTTAATTATAAAAAAGATGTTGAGACTCTGGGAAGAATGCAGAGAAGAACAACAATGATTATTAGTGGGCTGGAAGCTAAAACATATGAAGAATGGTTGCAGGATTTGGGTATAACTTGTCTAGCAAAAAGAAGGACTATGGGTGACATGATAGCAGTCTTTCAATATCTGAGGGGCTGCTACAAAGAAGAAAGTGTCAACCTATTTTCCAAAGCACCAGAAGGCAGAACAAGAAATAATGGATGTAAACTAATGAAGGAGAGAACCAACCTAGAACTATGGAGAAATTTTTTGAGAAAAAGTAATCAGTGGAACAACTTGTGAGAATAACTAATCAGTGGAACAACTTGGCTTCAGAAGTTGTGGGTGCTCCATCACTGGAGGTTTTAAAGAAGACATTGGACTATCCAGAATGGTATAGGGTTTCCTGTTTCTGCAAGGGGTTTGACTAAAAGACCTCCAAGGTACCTCAACTCTTACTCTGTTAATTCTATTACTCCATTGCAGGTTGGTTAATGTTTAAATGAAGTTTGTGGTTTTTTAAATAATTCTTTACCGGTTTAGTCCCAAAGGTGCTTTTTTTCCCCTCCAACTTGACTTTTTTTGGGAGGGGGGGTTGTTCGTTTTGTTTTTCAATTCCTGAAGTACTGAAGAAGCTTCGTGGATGAGAAGCGAAAGATTTTCAAAGGGAAAAAAAATCTAAGAAAGTTCAGTAGCCCTTTTGAAAAAAAGCACTTTTGGGGAAATCATGACCTGGATGATTGAGAATCTCCATAGATTTTCCCAGTTTAGAAAGATTCTATTAATTCAAAATTCAGAATAAACTTAGAATTTCCAGACTGAACAGCAGGATTTTGAGATTAAACCGTATGTTGGGACCACTGAATTTCAGGAAATAGACACATGAAGTCTGACTGGTGCCATTTTGTAGTTGCTGAGAGAAATGAGTTGGGTTATTAATCATTCACCCAAGCAGTCAAAGATATTTTTTCCCCAATAAACAAGCTAGCCATATTTTGGAGGGGCGGATCAATGTTTTAGACTAAAAAGGGGGTATTTTAAAAAGATAAGGCAATGGATACGAGAATCTCTTCTTAAAATTAATTAAGATCATTACACTAATGTAATGCTAATTAAAATCATTACACTACACTGAATTACATTGAAACTTTAAAAAATTAAAATAGGACTAGGGCTGAGGAGGCAATCAACCAGGTACTTTACCAGTATTATCACCAGCAGAAATAAATTACTATAATATCGTTGTTCTATGATTTCTTCAAGTACTGTTTTATCTTGCCTTAATTGTTAAAGTATTATTGATTTTTGCAGTCATGTAGTAATACTATACTTAAATATGTGAGATAATCAATTTTGTGATTATTAATCTACTTCTAGGAGGGTCTGCAACATCAGATGACCATGAATTTGACCCAACAGCAGACATGCTGGTACATGATTTTGATGATGAACGAACACTAGAAGAAGAAGAAATGATGGAAGGTGAAACAAACTTCAGTTCTGAAATAGAAGATCTTACAAGGGTAAATATTTTTTAAAAAAACTGCAAATATTACACATATTCTTCTCACAAATGTCTGAAGGTACATAGATATTTTTCAAAATTTCAATGAAATAATGACTTTAGAATTCTTACCCTATATTACATTTTTTGCACGTTGCCCCACTTATGGTATAATCTGTTTATATTTAGCAATAGGTTTATCATGACTGTCTTGTGCATTATTATGTTAATGTTCCTGAAATGAATATTATCCAAGTAAAAATAGAATTATGTAAGTACTTATATATCTGACATGTCCCTGCAGTTATTTTAAATGGCGCACTTAAAATGCTGTTTGAAAAATAATGGAAACAAATAAATTTTTATATCTCAGTAGGACATATAAAATATTATATAGTCAAGTTCTCCATACCCCTAACTCTTACAGTTTTTCATAGATATTAAATATTACGGAAACTTCAGTCATTTCTTTCTAATACTGTGTAAAGTTTATTCAGGCTTTATTTAGTATAAAGTGTTTCCATTTAAGCTATTGATAAAAGTGTTTTAGGTGTATTTATTTTCTAGGAGCCCAGTTGGACACAAAAATTTTAGGAAGATAATTTTTTAGACCAAAATGCAAAATCTTCAGATTACTTCATGAAGTAAGTCTGAAAGTAAAAAAGAAAAAGAAAAAAACCTGATGATCATAAAACAGTAAACGCTGGCATGCTTATGATTAAATTATATCCTAAGCAGTTCTTGGGACGGTTAGGATAAAAAACAAGTAAACAATTATTTTCCCATTGTGAATTATAAAAATCCAGCTGCATTTAAAAATTTGTCTGTTTAAGCAATCACAAATGTTCTTTAGTAAGTGGAATATGACGTCAAAAAGAAATTGATAGTGCTTACATTAACGCTGAAGATACCGTCTGCTGGCTAACTTTTTTTTTAAGTCAACCTACATGGAAAAATTTCCCTCTGAAAACAGTACAGCTTATTTTAGACTTGTTCTATATGTAAGGATGAAAATTGTTTGATTATTGACTAATTGTATCAGCAAATATGGGATTAGAATTAAATTGATGGTTATGAATTCTTGGTATATGCACATTTTGAGAAATATACAATATTTTAATTATATTAGACTGAAGTGAAAAATATTTAGACTGTTTTCAGGTCAATGATTAGAAATAGGAATAGAATAGAATAGAATAGAATAGAATAGAATAGAATAGAATAGA